GAAAGAGAAGGAGAGAGGGTAGGAAGAGGGGAGTAAGGGAGAGGTAAGGGAAGAAGGAAGGGAAAGGAGAGGAGGAAGGAAGGAAGGAAGGGAAGGAAGGAAGAGGAAAGGAGAGGAAGGGTGGAAGGGAGGGAAAGAGAAGGAGAGAGGGTAGGAAGAGGGGAGTAAGGGAGAGGTAAGGGAAGAAGGAAGGGAAAGGAGAGAAGGAAGGAAGGAAGGAAGGGAAGGAAGGAAGGAGAAAAGAAAGGGAAAATAAGGTGGTGTTAAAATAGGCAAATGGGATGGTAAACAAAGCAACCCAAAATGGATATTATAACCCTTTATATGGAACATAAGAATGACAAATGTAAAGAAGAGCAATAACTATGTGAATGTATACGTAAGAGAATAAAAAAAAAATTAAAAAAGAAACGTTGTGGGTAACAGAGGGAGAAAGGGACAGTGTGTGTGTGTGTGTGTGTGTGTGAGAGAGAGAGAGAGAGAGACTCATCATCATGACCATCTTACGATCCTCATCATCCCCATCATAGCAAACACGCTAAAGCAAGCAGCAGCAAGCGAAGGGGACGCGGGAGACCACCCAGCCGGCCAAGGGGGAGGCACGGGGGGCTTTCTCGGCCCCCAGAGGGGTCGCTAACTTAATCTAAGCGGCCCTGCAGCTGCGATAAGAAGACCCCTGGGTCAGAGGGGGGGGAGAGGGAAGGGAGCCCCCGGATTGCGCCGCTGGGAATCAGCTGGCCCCCTTTGCTTCCCCTCCCCCGCCTTTGCGCTGCAATGGGAAACTTACAGCAAAGTTTGCGGCCAAAACAAAAAGCCAAGCTTCTAGCCCTCTCCACGCCCTGGTTTGCGCTCACCGCTTTTTCTCTTCCGTCAGGCCTTCGGGCTTCCTCTTCCCCCTTTTTCTCCCGGGCGCAAAGCAAGCCGTCCTGAAGAGCTTCCCCCCCACCCCGCCCGCCTCTCGTTTCGTGCGTGCTTCTTCGCCCCTTTGGCTTTTCCAATGGCCAGCCTGCCAAAAAGGGCGCAGCGCCTTCTGGGAACGGTAGTTCCGACCCGCTGCTTGCCCGGCCAGCTTTGATGAGGCCCGGAGCGAAAACTCCACTTCCCAGCATGCTCCGCGGCCAGGTTTCCTTTCCCACCACCCCCGGCCGGGGAGGTTTCCCACGCCAGTGACTCTGCTTTTGTCTCCGATACTTGGAAGGATTGGGAGGAAAGTCGAACAAAGGGCGCCCTCTGGCGGGGATCTTTGTTTTAGCAGGAGCTGCCCGTTTTGCGGAGCGACTTTGTTTTTTCATTGTAGAATACAATAGAATAGAATAGAGAATAGAATAGAATAGAATAGAAAATAGAGTAGAATAGAAAATGGAATAGAATAGAAAATAGAATAAATGTTGGGATGAATAGAATAGAAAATAAAATAATAGAACAGAATACAATAGAAAATAGAGTAGAGAAGAATAAAGAATAGAATATTGGAATGAATAGAATAGGGAATAAAAGAATAGAATAGAATAGAACAGAAAATAGAATAGAATAGAATAGGGAAGGATAGAATAGAATAAAATATTGGAATGAATAGAATATGGAATAAAAGAATAAGAATAGAATAGAAAATAGAATAAATATTGGAATGAATAGAATAGGGAATAAAATAATATAACAGAATAGAATAGAAAATAGAGTAGAGAAGAATATAGAATAGAATACTGGAATGAATAGAATAGGGAATAAAAGAATAGAATAGAACAGAGCGGAATAGAAATTTTAGAATAGAAAATAGAATAGAATAGGGAAGAATAGAATAAAATATTGGAATGAATAGAATGGAATAAAAGAATAAGAATAGAATAGAAAATAGAATAGAATAGAATAGAATAGAATAGAAAATAGAGAAGAATCAAGAATAGAATAGAATATTGGAATGAATAGAATATGGAATAAAAGAATAAGAATAGAATAGAAAATAGAATAGAATAGAATAGAATAGAATAGAAAATAGAGAAGAATCAAGAATAGAATAGAATATTGGAATGAATAGAATATGGAATAAAAGAATAAGAATAGAATAGAAAAT